AGATGTTAAGAAAATAAAAATACCATAAATTCCTAACAATATGAATAGTAAATATATTATTAAACAGCAATTAAATATCTTTAAAAGTTTTTTAATGACATAGGGAAAGATTTATGAAATAAGTTTATATAAAATTAAACAAATGTTAAATATTAGAGCATAAGCTAAACTAAATTAAAAGCAAAATAGCAAAAACAAATAGCAGAAATAAATGTACAAAATATGTTAACAGTCATTGACCTAGTGTAAAAATCAATGTGTTGAGTTTTGTGTAGTTTGTCTACCTTTCTGAATTTTATACATATATTACAAGAATAATTATTATATCCATAAACACACATGCACAAGGAGTTATATTTAAAAAAAAAAAAGGTTGCATGGGAAAAAGACCACTTCAGAGAAATTCATCCAAACCACCATATACTCTCTTAGCTTTCATCTCCCATTTCTCCTTAGGCTCTGGCTCTCTCCCTTATGCCAGCTTAGTCTCTCATCTTCAGCCACCACATGTAAAAACACATCTCAACTGGTCCCTGTGTCTGTTTTCCTTGGGGGTACTGGTTTCTTTCCTATTTCTGACCTTGGTCCTCTCTTTTTTTTATGACTATTTTTGCTTCTAGGTGTGTGAAGGGCCTGAGACTAGACATAAGGCCTGAGTAGTGTTTCTGAGGTTTAGAGTATGGTAGTACTGACAACAGCTTTAATGGGAAAACCAATCTGCAGCCCAGCCATAAGTAAATTTCAGGGTTCAGAATTTCATGGTGTCCATATTAGTTTTTCATTTCTGTGTAAGAAATTACCACATATTTAATGTCTAAAACAATATATATTTAGTAGTGCAGCATTTCAGTGGGTCAGGAGTCTGAGGACAGCTTATTAAAGTCCTCTACTCTGGGTCCCACAAGGCTCCAGTCAAAGCTTCACCTGGATGTATTTCTTTGGGGAGCTCAGAATCCTCCTCTGAGCTAAAGTGGCTATTGGAAGAATTCAGCTATATGATTGCCAACTCTCATCCTGCCAGATGTGGGCTGCTGTCAGCTCCTCAAGGACTGGGGACTGCTATCAGCTTCTACAGGTTACTCTCAGGTATTTTCCATGTGGCTCTTTCTATAGGTTTTCTCACAACATGGAAGTTTGCTTTATCCAGGCCAGTAAGACCATCTGTTTGCTTTTAAAGTTCTCACTGGGTTAGCCTGGGCCAACACAGGATAATTTCCTGTTGACTAACTCAAAATCAACTGGTTAGAGACCTCAATTATATCTGTGGGAAATCTCTTTTCCAAAATAAAGTAATATTACCACAGAAGAGATATCCCATTATACTCAAAGGCTCTGTCCACACTCAAGGGGAAGGAATGAGAAAAAGATGTGGGGCACTGGGGATCATCTTAGAATCCTATCTATCATAAGGATACCTTCCTGGCTGTCATAGACTTGAGGCTCAAGTTCAGTATTCTGCACACTGAGTTGTGTTGATGGTCTATAAATTTTACACAACTCCTTCATATCTATAATTTTATTTAATTCTTACCTCAGCGTCCAGAGAAATATGCTCCTATCTCCAATTTACCAGGGAGGAAACTCGAGGAAAGAGAACTTAAAACGAAGGTCACATAGCTAGAAAATAGAACTTGAAACCCAGATCCTCTGACTCTAAATAGTATGCTCTTTCTCCCACATCACTTTTCTGGAGCAATCACTGAGACAGACCTGAGTTCAGTTTGGAGCCTCACCTAATTAGGGAGAAACTCAACTCTTACCTCATCTGGGTCTGTAGTACAAGATAGAACGTAAAGACAAAATCATTAGAGCCAAATTCTGGCTCCAACATTTACAAGCAAGTTACTTAGTTTTTCAGTTCCTCAATGATCTTATCCAAAAAAATGGGAATAATGAAAGTATAGTCTAATGGAATTATTATAGATTTTAAATTAGTTAATGTCAGAAAAGTATTTGGTACATTGAAGCACTACATTGGTCTTGGTTATTATTATTATTGATCTATTATATTTTGACTAATGTAGAGTCCAGATTACTACTCTACATTGAAGTAACCCATCATCTCACTTTTCTGGGCTTTAGTTTACCTGCAATTTTAATATTATTTAATTATAAAAAATGTAATTTATAATGGAAAGGATACATTTAAAAGTTTTAAAAGTTTGTAACCCACAGGAAAGACCAAAGAACTAGTCAAGTATAAAACAAATAAACCCTAGGCTTTGTGTATTTACTTTTTAAAAATGAGGGAAGCACTGAAGATTCAGTTGACTGTAGAAACTCAGGAATAAAAACTTATAAACATTTTTAGTATCCTATCAATTTTTAAATGTGCTTTAATCCCATATTATGACCAAGAGAAAAAGAGATGTAAACAGATAGGAAAGGGAAGCTGAGGGAAAGAGATAAAGGATGAAAAGAACCTGAAAGAAAGTTAGAAAGAATAAGATGGAAGCAACTAGAACATCATAGAGAAAAAGAGAAAGACATTGAGGCAAGAGCAGAAAAAGTCTACTGAGAGATAGAGATGGAGATAAGAGAAATATTGCTAAAATTTATTGAGCCAATACAAAGACCAATGAATAGAGGTCACAAGGAAGAAAATTGTGGCTCAATAGAAAAATAACAAATTTAATACTGATTAGAGTTTTCCCTTAACATTGTGAAAACTTTACCTTTGGGAGTTTTTAGGCAGAGACCAAATGATATAGTGGATTCTATTATTAAATGAGAGATCAGAGAGTACAGTACATAAGTGACATCTGGGACTAGTTTTTGTATGTATGCAAAGCTGGCTGAATGATCTTCTAAAAGTCTTTAAGCTTAAATTTCCTGAGTCCATATTATAATAGCCACAATAATAGTACATACTTTTGTCAGTATAGATGCGTGTGTATCTGTGTTCATCTATATTTTATTTACATCTAATATCTATTTATCATCTATCTATCATCTATCTATCTATCTATCTATCTATCTATCTATCTATCTATCTATCTATCTATCTTAGCACAATGCCCCACATGTGAAAAAGCTGAATAAATATAGGCTATCATCATGTGTATTCTCTCTTCAACTATAGAATGCTGCTTCCAGAACAGAAGAACTTCCTTTTATCTCTGTGGGAATACTGTGGTCACCCATGCTCGCAGGCAAAGAATGGTGGCACTCTCAGAGATGCCACTTTCCATTCTTAACTGTAGGCAAAGCACGTAACATAGAGTAAAAATTCATGATTGTGGCCCATCGATTTCTGAATGATCCTCTAACAGCTCTATTCCTAAACCTTTGTAATGGAGCTTATCCGGCATCCAGTATTAGCAAATCCAATCCCCATCATGGCTCACAGAATGACACAGCATCTATTTCAAATTGTTCACTCTGGAGCACGGATATTTCCTCTCTTAGTAATTAATGTCCTCAAATCAGCTTGAAAATCCTATTGTCAAAAAGCACATGTTTCCTGAGAGTCACTCATTTCTTTTCTTGTTGAGAGAAGATGCAGATGTACCTGAGGGGAAAAAATTGCAATTCTCTTCTACAAGCTGCAAAGATGCAGCTGTCAAAAGTAATCAGTTCATCAGAAGAATTGAGTAGAGTACAAAAGTGTCCTTAGCTGCCTTCTAAGGAAAACAGTAAGTGCTCTTACTTATGCTAAATGGAGGAACAGACTGAGGAAGGCCAACAAAGCTTACATTGCTGCTACTTGGGTCATTGTCCTCACAGTGGCTCCATGCAAGCTAAAGTTATACTTAAAAAAGACTTAGGTTGTACTTTACCCTCCCCTTATTAATTCACCATCCTCCTTCCTCTTCTCATTTCTTTCACTCATTCATTCATTCATTCATTCAAAAACTCATTCTTTCAGCAAGAATTTATTGATCCACTTTTATATATAACTGCCTGGTCTGAGAGGATTGACAATCTGGTAGCGGCGCTAAAATAACATGAGGACATTATTTTCTTCCCAAGGAAATGTCTCCTAATTGTCTCCAATTCACAATCTCTTGTTGCTAGTGTTTTGACCTCAGATAGAATTTTATTTTATTTATCAATTGTCCCATCTGGGTAACACTTCGTTCCCAAATAATCTTCAGTTCTTCAAAGAGAGGGACCCTGACTCTAAGCAGCACTACTCTCACCTGAGCAGCATCTGGCTTCACTCCATCCAACTACTTAATCTCACCTTGTGGCCATCATCCAAGCCAACTTTGCTTTGTCTCCCTCTTTGTTGGGACAACTTGCTCTTTCTCCCTCTGTTCTCATCCACATTTGTGGGATTAGTGAAAACTTTACTATACATATACATTTACATACACATAATTAATTTCAGAGGGGAAAGAGAGAGAGAAACATCAATGATGTAAGAAAATCATTTATCAACTGCCTTCTACATACCTTCTCCTGGGGATGCAGCCAACGACCCAGGCATGTGTGCTGATCAGGAATCAACCATGACCTCTTGTTTCATAGGTTGACACTTAACCACTGAGTCTCATTGGCCGGGCTTAATTATTTTTTTAAGACACAGAAGGGAATATTCCTTTGCAACAGTTTTATAGATGCTGTCCAAACTCCTACCAAAGACCTTATAAATAGCTTCTGAATCTATAAATGTACAGTGTCTATAACAATGCATTATCTGCTAATATTACTTAAAATATATTATTTTTCTATACATTTTATTATTTTCTCATCAGCTCATAGGATTCTTCTGTCCAACCACACTGAAGGCTCCATGGAGCAAAAGACATATCTGCACCCCCTTGTCACGGTGCCTGGACCACTACTGAATAGGTAGCCATACGCAAATTAAATACTATACTTGAAATTCAAATAATAATGAGAGATCTGCAAAGTTGTTTCAGAAAGCTTACTTTAACAGCTTTCTCTTTGAAGTACAGAACTTTTGTAGACTTACTATTCTCCAAAGGGACAAATGTAGCTCACTGATATGGCATATTTATGTTCCAAATAATTCTAACATTTCAGTTCTTTACCTGAGTCTGCCATCCTCTGCTGCAGCACCTCCAGGTATAATCTTCGTAATAAATATGCCAGGGTCATCTCCAATATGGGGATTATCTGTCCCTCCGGCAATACTGAATCCCAAGCCAGAATTCCCCTGTAGAAACAATAAGTAGATATTAAATGATGTAGCTGTCACCTACACCTAGTCCCCCTTGCACTCTGTGTTATCATCTTACCACTTAAATGGAAATCAGGTGATAACAGCCTTGTGTGCAAGGCTATAAAGTGCACCGTCAGCAGACAAAGGAAGGTCAGGAAAAATACTCAGGTTTGTCTCTGCACTGCAAACATTCAAGGGCCATATATTTTTGCCTTTAAGGAATGTTTCCTTTATGGAGCAATTAAAATGATCATTTTAAAGTAGAAAATAAAAGCTTACAAATTGAGGAATATAGAAAGTACAAAAATTATTACTGTCAATTGTACTAATTATAAATGTGAACAAAGAATGGAAGAAAAGGAGTTATATAAAAATATTTGATTTGGTAGTATAGTGAATTTGTGGTATTTACATTTCTTTATTGTCAGTATTGTTTACCCATAAAATAACTGTGTTCCTATGTACTAAGAAACTTTGACTTCTGAAGTCAGAGTCCCTACCATAGTCGTAATAAATGTAATATACCTTGTAGTTATAGGCAGGTTTTTTATAGAAAAGGAATGCATTAATTCTGAAGCAGGTAAATTTGAATAGTTTATATTCTAATAAAGCTTTCATCTTAAGTGTACATATAATCCTTTGAAATTTGTATGACAAAGTCTCCCTGAAATTCACAAATCTTACTTAACGTATTTCTTAATATTTTAAATATATTTCTATTTTACTTGTTTCTTATTTTACATTTTTCTTACTTGACATTTCTTATTATATTTTATAGTAGAGGCCTAAATGCACAAATTCTTCAAGGGGCTTGGCCCTCACAGCTCCATAGCCCCTGTCAACTGGTCATGTGGAAGATCATTTTAGAAGGTCCTTCCAACATCTGGTCTAATTAACATATTAGCTCTTTATTATGTAGGCTATTCTTAATTTATATATTTCTAATTTACATATTTCTTAATATCTATCTCCATTGCTATATTGCATTTCCATATTGCATTCAGATTTTTCCCTAATTTGAATTATTTTTTAAATTATTTCCATACAACTAGGTAGTCTTCATAATTACCCATTTTATTTTATTATTATTTTTATAATTACTCATTTTAAATGACTAAACAATATTTCATCAAGGTCATATACTACGATTTATCTATATAGTCCCTTGTCACTGGATATTTAATTTCTCTATATATTCTTATGACAAAGAGAGCTTACTAAATTTATAATCATTTGATTAAATTCTGCTCTTGGGTAAAAAGAGATAAGGACTAAGAACTAAGTAGTTAATGCACAAAAGTTAATTAGGGCATGCAATTAGTCAAAAAAGTTCAATGTTAAGATAAGGTCAGCTATAAATTGACAGTGTACCATGGCAGACATCAATGTAATGTTTAGCAAATTTTATGGATTGAATTAATAAAAATCTAAATTCCAGAGGGTTGTGTTCAGAATTGCACATTTACATTGAGAAGTTTAAATTAATAATTCAACCACAGTAATGAAAATCCCATAACTTTTTACTTCTAACACCTATCAAATTTTGTTTGTTTTTTGAAAAATTCCTGTGTTCACTGAACAGAGATATTATTGGTAGCAGTCATGTAATCATGAATTTAATCTTTATTAAACACCATTTCTATGCCTGACACTAGATGAGGCCATGGTACTACAGCAGTGAACATGTCAATTGATGAGGCACATGAGAGGGAAGTACAGAGCACAGGACTGAGTAACAGGAGAACCAAGCATAGGACTTTTCCTGAAGGAAAATAGCAGTTAGTTACTTTTAAGGGGGTCAGTATGAGAGCTGGGGAGAAGGAGAGAAAGTTCTAGCAGATAGAAGAACATATGTAAAACCCCGAGAAAGGGAATGCCAGGCCTGAAGAATAGACAGTAAGGCTGTAACAAAGAAAGGAAGGAGTGTTAGATTGGATGAGTCTTTATCATGAGATTTCCAGAGCAGAATGTATATATATTCATTTTTACTTATTTACTGATATTGGATGGCTTCTGCTATGTGACCCTCTTGAAGTTAAAGACAGGGATTAGGATGGGATGACTTTTGCCTTCATGGAATTCAATACAGAGCAGAAAAGGCAATGATAATCTGGCATGTGGTGATCAACCACACTGACATGTGTATAGCCACCAAGATAGCATTTAGGTGATTTATAAGGCAGTTTATCTAAGATCTATGGATTTTGGAAAGAAAGGTAAGTATCTTCAATATAATTTGGGTCTAGCTCCAAGAACACTAACTGGAGTACATTGGTCTTATTAGAATTGGCACTTCAGGGATAATAATTTCTTGATTAATGGGGATAGGGAAAAGAGGCAGTTTTGGGGAGATATTCAAATGCTTTCTCCTAACATTATCAATATTTTGGAAGAGAGTGCTCAAACTTGTCATTTGACAAAGGTAGTCAACATCTAGCTCTTAATCTATTTTCCTTATTCCTAGTTTTACACATTGACCCACAGGAACACTGAACTGCTGGCTCTTTCTTCCCTAATCCAAACTATAATTTCTCTCTGGTCTCATGATCTTTCCTCTATCAGAAACTTCCCAACTTCCCCTTGTCTGGTCCATTTCTTCTCATTTTCTAAGATATGGCTCAGAAGGCATCTGTTCTAGACAATATTAAATATCACCCCAGCTCTTCTTTTCTGAGTAATTCCTCTTTTGAGGTTTTATAGATTTCTATGCTATTTATGTAATTCATTGTGTTATTTTGAAGTTATATGTTTATGATTCTATCTTTCCACCAAACTGAGCTTCCAGAAAGCAGGAACTGTGTTCATATTTGTTTTGTGGTGCCTTGTTTGGCACATAGTATTATTAAATAAATATTAGATGAATGAAATAACAGACAAACAACCTGAGAATATTTAAACTCTAATGGGAAGATTCAGCAAGAACACAAAAGAAGTCCACAATGTATTAAGAAATGCCATGTAGATAAAAGCAAGTTCATACTCTGTGGCTACAACAATAAAAATGGAAAGTCTAGCTATACAAAGTGTGGCTTAGGTATAGGATGATGAGACAGAACTGTCAAAATTGGGAATAGGTTGTTCTGGAAGGGAGAGATTGCTCTTCACTCAATGAGCAGCTCGCTAGTCACTGGATATGAGAGACCCAACCTTCTATTGAGAGTCAATCTGGATAACTTTAAAAATTTTCTTCTGGTTCTCTGGCTAGATTTGTAAAAAGGCTTTTTGTTAACAGAGAAAAAGGAATGCATTAGGGACCGTTAGAGAAAGAGGTAGATCACTGTTGTGTTTTTTATTTTTAAAAACATATTTTTATTGATTTCAGAGAAGAAGAGGGAGGAAGAGAAAAATAGAAACATCAAGGATGAGAGAGAATCATTGATTGGCTGCTTCTTGCATGCACCTCACAGGGGATCAATCTTGAAACCCAGGCATGTGCCCTGACCAGGAATTGAACCATAACCTCCTGGTTCATAAGTCGATGCTCAATGACTGAGCAACACCTGATGGACCACTGTTGCATTCTAAAAACTTATTCGTTGAATAGGTAAATATTAGATACCTTCGAAATAATGGCTTTGGTGAAAATGCAGCAACATTTAACCACTGTTTTGGGAGTTAACAGAGAAGATGGTAGTTCTGGCATTTACTAATATACACTGCCTTGCCCTCAAATCCACTCTGAAGAAAAAGAATAAATGGATCAAGAAGTCCTCAATGAAAAGAGAGAGGTAGAGATGGAGTGTACCTATATTTCTGGCCCCAAGTTTTCCAAAAGCTTTTGTGTTTCAATTAAAACCAGTCTGCCAGCTGGGCCTGGGCAGTCACCAAGGTTCTTTAGAAGAGGTTCATCTGAATTCAACTAAGGAAATTATTCAAAGTGCTTTCCCATCTACCCCATTTGTTCTCTCCCGCCTTCCCATTCAGGCCTCTGCTAACAGCCAGCAGCATTCAATGGAGAGAGAGACAGATAAAAAGCGGCACTGAAATTACTGCCTGCTGTTCTATGCCTGAATCACTCCAGTCCCCTGACAATCATCCTGGAGCCAGCCAGCTGCATGGGGTAAACCTCTGAACCTCTCTCCTCTGAGCAGCAATCTCTCCATGGGAATGGGCATGCCCCTGGCTTATACCCTTAGATCCTGAATATTGTGACTAATTAACCCAAGTGTTGATACATGAATCAGTCAATGGAAACTGCGATGTGGCATGCTGGTGAGGGCAGCCCCCAGACAGAGTTCTGGATGAGCTGCTGTTCCCTTGCAATTGGGCAGATTGCATGACTGATGAATGAGGCTGACATGGATCATTCTTCCTCCTCATTCCCAGCCCTCCACATTAGCTGATTCTTGTCCAGGAGCACAAGTCCATTGCCTAGCCAAGTGGTACTTCCTCTTCCATGCACCACACTCTTTCCCTCTCAGAAAAAGAATTAGCAAAAAGGAAAGACACTTTGCTGCTTAATTGATGATTGCAAATATTAATACAATATCCTCAGAAAAGCTCCTCTTTCATTAAAAGTGTGCTCTCCAAATGAAAATTACACTCCTTAAAAATGGGGATATGAAAAAGAGAAAAAAACGAAGAAATTATAATCATATACATTTTTAGAATGTTCTATTGACAAGGAATTTCTTTGATGTTTATAAGTTAAGCTACTAATTTAAAATACTGTTTAATGTAGTAATTCACTTCTAGAAGTTTATCTTAAATCAGAGATGTGTGTAAACATTTGTGTTTAGTGCTGTCACAGTATCATGTTTCCAAAATAAAAAACAAAACAAGCACAACTCAAAACTACAAAAAGTTCTTAGTCTAGAAATAAGAGATGCCTGTTTTCACTTACAAACTTTAGGAGTTGCATTTACAATGTCTCAAAGTTTGCTATATTACATTGCATTTATCTGGAAGCTGCTGCATAGGGAAGTCATCAGGAGATCTGCATTTGATGAGTGATCACCGTACTGGTAGATTTGGTAGTTCATCTGACTGGTAAT